TTAAAGAATTTAGTAAAGCAGATATATTATTAAAACAAATTAATATTTCAACTCAACCTATTATTGAATCTCATTCATTAGTATATCATATAAGTCGATTATTTGATCTTAATAAATTAAATGAAATTTTAAATAAAGAAGAAAAAGAGATTTTGTATTATAAAAATGATCTGTATGATAAATCTGATGAATCAGAAAACAGTCAAAATATTCAAAGTATTAGTAATTATTTAGATGATTTTTTAATTTTAAATGAATAGAAATTTTATGAAACTTGATATTAGTAAGTAAAGCATTTATGTTAAATTTTTTTTATTTATATTAATATAATTTACTAATATTTTTTAAAATAATGTATCTCTTAAAATTTAAGAAATACATTTTTGTTTATTTGTTATTTATAATTAGTTTCATATTTATATTATTTATATTATATATATTTTTTTTTTTAGTTTAAAGATTGAATAATTGTTGATTTTTAATTATCAATTATTATAACGAAAAATATATCTGTTTTATTTCGCAATAGAAAAATAATCTTTATAATCTTCTTTTGTATCAAGATCTTACAGACTACAAAATTCTAAAATACTTTAGACATATTTATATTATGATAAGTCACGTCAAGTTTAAAAATAAGAAGGCAATTATAATAAAGATATTTTTTATTTAAAATTATCATAAAGCACATAAGCAATGATTGTATAAATGTTTTAAGTTTAATATAATAAATCATTCTCCAATCACAAAATCGTGACATAAATGAAAATATTTAACCTTTTTCAAATAGAAAGAGAATTTATCTATTTAAGCCCTAATATATATAATTTTAAATTTATTTTAAATATTCCTTCTACTATAAAATGAAACTTACTCTATATAATTTTGAATAACAAATAAATAAATAAACGTAAATATCGAGGAAAACTCTATATTTGCAAATCCTACTTTCAAATCTGAAAGGTAAATTAATTAATAGTGGATCTGAAAAAATGAAGATTATTTTCCAGCCACATTCACTTGCTTTTATGTGATTAGATGAGAGATTAAAGGAAAAATTAAAAATTTCAAATTATCACAAAATGTTTTGATCTATGCATATATTATTAATAATCTCTTCTAATATGTTAAAAAATTTTTGATTTATTTAAAATAAATGGCAAATTTTTTTCAAAATAAAGAAAATTTTACAAATTTAATTTACTGCTTAATACATTTCCTCATTCCTGAGAACTATAGATTAAAATATGATAAGTTAGAATGTAGATTACTTGATTAGGCTGAATCAAAAAAAATAAAGGTTAACCATACTGATATTTAAGATAAAAATAACTTATTCTTTTTTTAAAATTAAAAGATTTACTTCCGTAGTTTGAATAAAAGGAAACTTGTAAAAATTTTGTGAAATATAGGTATCAAATGTTAAGTTATTTGTTAAGTTATTATGTATTTTGAAGTTACGTCTGCCACTAAGTAGATGTAAACCAGAGAATAAAAACTCTTCAAGGGAAATCACATTTTGCGAAAATTGGGCTACTATGAACACGTAAGCAAAGTTTTAGTAGAAATAGCCGAAACAGTTTTCTTCTTCAAAGAAACGCATATAAGGACACACAAGGAGAAATAGTAAATAAAATACATGAGTTATTAAAAGCAAACGCTCGTAATACATACAATTGTAAACTATTTTTTTTGATACTTGACAATGATGCCAATTCAAGGATCATAAAGAAAATCTAGGTAGATAACTGATCATAACATTAATTTTACACAATAAATATGAATAATCAGGATTAAATAATTGTAGGAGTTGAATTGGAGTGGTCACTATATAAACTCCAAAAAGACTCATTATAAATAATGAGCGATAGTGATTCAGTTAAAATAATAATTAAATTATTTATAACTGTTTTCAACCAAATATTTTAGATTTTTAGATTCGACAAAGATATGATTAGTATAATAAAAATATTTATTATAGCCACTTTTCTGTATGCTGATTAAACCTGAATGATAAGAAAATAAATAATTAATAGTTTTGCAATTGAAAGTAACCTATGAGTATGAATGCATTTTACTCTAGCAGATCAAACTCAAGCATTTATGTATTATAGTTGCAGGACAAAACCCTAAACCCATTTTGGCAAAAGTAGAAATTATTTTGACAGTTTCAATGCCCTATGAAAACAATTGTTCATTAAACATTTGAAAAACGTTTACTATTTATTGTTCATTAAATAACCAAAAATTCATTTATTATATGTACATTATATATACATTATATGTAATGAAAAATGAGCCCAAATTGGATATTATTTAGACAAATTTTTATTCAAATTTTGTCAGTTTTTTATTTTGCAATTGAAAGGTATTTATACTGATATTAACCATAAAATATATAATAAACATATGTAAAATGTACACTAATCGTATAATTAAATATCATTTATATTAACATCTAACATATAAATAAATATATATATATATTGAATTAATTAGTAGCTAAAATAACATCTTTCCAATATGTAATGAAAATACTATTTACCTTTACCGTTTGATATAAAGAATCCCGTGATAATATCGTAATCACAGTTGGTAATAAGCTACTTGTTATTTTTGAGGTTACGAGTTGATCTTTGAGGTAAAGAATTAGTATATTCATCAGAAATGTCAACTTTAGATTTTTTTTTGGTAGGTTTCGTCAATCGGACTTGCGATTTAAGATTATTAGCTTCATCATTTTCTGTAACAGAATAAAAAATATTAGCTAAAAGTAAATTGTAATTCAAATCTCTAATTAGTTAATATTCTAAAAACAAACTTTTCTTTGTATGAGATATATTAGTTGCTATAGTTTTCTCTATGTATTTAACAACAGATGAATTTCCTTGATCATTATCACTATCAATTAAATATGGACTGAAATCATCTTGGTCTTGTAATCGATTATTATAAGGAACAGAGGCTTGATGGAAATAAGGATAAAAATAAAAGGAATGTAACTTTATATTCATTGTGAAATAAAAATTCGATTACACATCGCTGAATATTAGACTCAAATTGATTACTTTTATGTTTTGCTTTTCTTTTATCATCATTATTTTTAGGCTTATTTTTACGATGAGCATTATCACCTATGCAAAGAATTATCATTTTAATAATCCTACAAGTATTCAGGTTTCGTCAAAGTGCGATACATATGGATAATGTTGATTTTTTGACGCATAAGATAATGTAAAGCCCAATCGCCAATATATTCGGGAAAGAAAGGATTCTTTTTTTTGAACTAGAAAAAAAAAATTCTGGTAATTGTAGATTTAAAGATCAAAAGAATTGACAAATCAAAAATAAAAAAATCAAACCAAACATATCTTGCGTATAATATTAGCTTTCAAATTTTTATCAATATTCTTGTATTCAACATCGCGGGTGCATAGAGTTCAACAAGATTATAAAAAGCACTCTATATATAAAAAAAATTAATTTAACTTGTAACATTTAATTTTTAGTTCAAAGTGATTCTTACTCTATAGCTGTTATATGTGGACTTATCTAAATTTAGTTTTAAGTACAAATGCGCATATTGACGTTTTCTTGGTGGAGGTTTTGGAATTGGTAAAGTTGCAGATTAATCATTTAGTATATTTGTCTTAATATTAGCTTCATTATCCTTTGAAACAAAATTTCAAGATCTTGAGATCGATAGAATCGCAGACTGGTCATTTAGTACACCCTTTTTAGCATTAATTTCATTATCCTTTGAAATAAAATGTTGAATTTAAAGATATTGTTTTTAAAAAGAATTAGAACTAAGATAACATATTTATATACCTCAGTATCAGATTCATATTCAAAGCTTGATTTTTCTGAACTAGATTCATAGCATTCTATATTAAATTTCTTGTACATTTTACATTTTTTATTCATATCTTTTTCTTTGTTAGTTTTTTTGCGTAAAGTGTTATTAACATCATTTTTTGATCGTGCTTCATTGTGTTGTGAATTTTGATACTTCATTTCATTATGTTCAAGTTCTTTGTTTTTATTTTCCAGTGCTTTATTTTTTTC